GTGATATGGCCTTCTTAAAAACCAAAATTTCACCTAAAATATTTCTAGATGCGGACATATCTGGCGTTTTTTTGTTTTTTTTCTAAAGGTGAGAGTGGAGAAGCCCACAATACTATGCTTTTCTGACGTTTTAGCTAGAGCTGCTGAGGCCACCAAAATTTTTTGTGATAAACAGGAAGTGGGCAGCTGAATTCACCCACCTGCATCCTTATCTCATTTATATCCCTAGCACTGTTTATTAACTGCCTCTGTGGTAAAGCAAAATAAAAACCTTGACCCAAGTCTAAGTTGTGATTCTCACCCATCTTCAAACGAAAATTAAAGCTTTGTGTTCCAGTCTGAGATACAGAACAATAAATAAATACAGAAACAGAAAGGATGCAAATATATAGGAATAGGGTATAATTTATCTTTTAAATCTTATTCTTAATTTCAGACCAATGGATGAAGTAAATATGCTGTGTTAATAAACTACCAGACTTCTTGCTCCAGAAATTCTCAAATCTCCATCATTAAGATACTGCCCCACCATGTTGCTTCTTGCTTCTGCTCTCATGTACTGCCTGTCCCAGCAAACTTGTAGAGGAGCCTGTTGTCACTGTCTCCAATTGCTTTCTCCCCATTCACTCCTCAGCTTCAAGCTGCTTTTGGCTAGGGTCACTGATGGCTAAAGCCACACAATTGCCCCTGGCTTGTTTTCAGTCCTACCACACTTGTTTCCTCCATCATTGGACAAGATGAACCATTCCTACTTTTATAATCCCTCCTTCTGTAGCAGCACTTTTTCTTCTTATTACTACTTAGTTCTACTGGATAAATTATACACTTGAATTTTTCTGGACCCAAGCAACATTGTCATTCTGATCACCCATCCTGCCTCCTCCTCCCCTTTGCACATAATACTTCTTTTTAAGTTTCAGGTGTACAAAACAACAATGATTAGACATTTACACACCTCATAAAGTGATAACTCCCAACACAGCGACTACCCAACTGACATCGGATATAGCTATTACAATATTTCAATACCATTGACATTTCCTATGCTGTACTTTTACACCTATGAAGTGATCCCCCTGATAAGTCCAGTAGCCATCTGACACCCTACATAGTCTTTACGTCATTATTGATTATATTCTCCCACACTATACTTCTTTATGGATGATACTACAATGTTTTATAGGTAATTTCCAACTTCTAATTTTATTCATTCTTGACTCTTCTGCCCAGAATACTTTATTCCACACCCTTCCTTCCTAGAAAAAGTCCTATTCATCCTTCAATACCAACTCAAATTTCAACTTTGTCGGGCAGAATTAGTTGCGCTTCCCACTGTTCCCTCTGCATCATTTTGAGTATCTCAAACTTCTTTTTTTTTTCCCAAGAAAGTGCCTTATTCATTGTTACATCACCAGCGATTAGCATCATACCCTGTACATAGATGAATGGTGGTGCTTAGTGAGAAAAAAAGTAAATGAATCTACTAGCCAAAATTAAAATACAATCAGAAACTTAAAATTCCAAAATACATCATGTTATATTCTTTTGTTTTTAGAAAATCTTGTGTTTGCCTTTTTTGAAATGTTCCTTTTCATTTTGCATGTTAATAAAAATCCACATATATAAATTTTGTCATCTTATACCAAGCTAAATTGTAATAGACAATAGTACTTACCTATCCTTAAAAATTGCATTAGTGAATAAATAATATTACAATATAATTTTTAAAGATACAAAATTATATTTATAGTATGGTTTCAGCTAATAAGGGACAGGAAAACTACAAAAAAAGCTGGAAGGACACAAAAATATTAGTTTCTAGCAGGATGCCTGGTGCAAAGTATAATAAACAGTAAGAAGGAGTTGGAGAAAATAGAGGCATGGAAAAGTAATAGCTAACACATACAGTATTAATATACAGGCACTATTCTGAAAACTTGACATATGTTAATATGTTCAATCCTCATAACAACCTTATGCAGTGGAACTGAATTATCCCCATCCTAGAGATAAGGAAACCAGGGTCCTGAGAAGACTAACTTGTCCAATTCCCAGCTGCTAAATGGCCTGGTTGAGATTTAAAGCATGGCAAACCTAGCTCCATAACTTGCTGAGGACAGAGGCACACAACATGACCACAGCAACAGTGACTGTGCTTAGCAGAAGGACAATAAACTATATTTTCCCCTTGCTGTTAATTTCTACTCTGCTGCATTTTTCAAATCTGACCCATCCAGCAAGTATTTTTTTTTATAATGTGTATAACAATCAGCAGCTACCAGGAACAAAAAATTTACCAGAAGTTTGTTTGCTGCACACAAACAAAGAAGAAAAATACCATTCCCTGCTGGGAGGAGAGAATCTTTGTCATCTAGGAAGTGGTACAGAAAAGTGTGTTCAGCTTATAGAGAAACTAAATTCTCCTTGGACTCCTTAGACTTTCTACACTCCTGGTGGAGAGGATAGTTGGTGTCACTCATTTTGTGATGCTTTATTTAGCTTTCATAAATTCCTACTTTCAAAAACAGGGTGTTAGCTTACTACTTACAAATATACTATGTATTGCTGCAGATCTGCCAAAAAGAGCCAAGAGTCCTTAACAATACTCCAAACTTCATTTTCTTACCCTGAGACAAATAGTCTGATCTTTCCAGGAAGTAGAATAACAAAGTAAGATCAGAACTACCCACAGCGGATTCAATTCTGCAAAAGTTGAATCCCGGTGCTTTCATGCATGCAACGCAGCCCGGTACTTCTGGATCCTGTTTCCAAAGAGCTGTCGGATTAGTTTAAGGCCACTGGGTGGTGTTGCTGCATCCTGATATGTAATGTGCTCTCTGCCTAGTGTTCCTGGTCACGTGGACAATAAACCAATGATTATCCCTAAAGTTATGCCAGTCATTTGGGTGAGTGGGGAAAGTGGTGAGAGTTTTCTGAGGTATGTCCTAAAACTCAAGAAATTAGGGTGTCCCCCATTTTTCTAAATTCTAGGCTGAGAATTTTTATAAATCAAAATAACCAATCATCAGGAAACCTGTTCACAAGAAAAAAGCACCTTTTATTCTCCAAATCCCTGAAGTCTAAATATAAGCACCTAAAATCCAAAGCATACCTTTAATCAGAAGTGATTATACAATTATAATTTCAGATGCTTGAAGCATCTCTACTTTGTCAGGCAGCACTATACTTAAACTCTTTAAAAAAACAATCTCAATCTCTCTCATATATATATATGATTTCTCTCATATATATATAATTTCTATATCACACACACAAACGTCTCAGAATTTAAAGATATGGAGAGAC